TTGGATTTTTCTTTTTCTAGCTTAAGAAATGCTGTACAGTTTTCCATATTAATGCCCTTGAAAATCAGAGTTTTCCAACTAACTGCTTCCCTGCCATATTCAGTATTCTTTTCCTTAGCATAAAAAGTTCCAGATTGAAGATTTAAAAATTAAAATGCAAACCTTTTTTTTCTAAGTAACATCATAAATACGTTACGCGGGAAGAGGAAGCTGGAGTTAGGGCCTGGGAGGCTATCTAAATTCTTGTTTCTACAAGATTGGATGTGATTACCAGCAATTCCGTGGCCTTAGCTGCTCTCAAAAGCAGGAATGTGATAATAGCTCCTGGGTGGAATAATTTTGGCTGGACTTGATTAAATCTAAGCTTAAAATGATAGGGAACAGCTTGGACTGCCTTTTGATTTATTTATTTTTAATTTTTTTTTTAAAGAACCACTGTTGCATGGCGTCTTCCTGTGGCCTTGCCAGATCTGGGGGCCTTTGGGAAGTCTGGCAGTAGATGAGACACTAACAGAGCGAGCTGTAATTCCCTGGCTAGTCTGAGTTACATAACTCCAATCAACGCTGATGAGTGTTGCCGCACTAGAGCTCTGCACGTGTGATCTTGGAAAAGCTTCGTACAGATTCTGAGTTCCTTCTCTTTCATTGAACGGCTCTTTCCTTACGTTCTCAGAAAACAGTCCAAAAGCGAAGGTGTAACAAAGACTGGACACAGTCGACTAATATTCTATTGTCATTCTACATTCCCCGAATTGCATCTCGAGTTGGCACCCAACAACTTATTTGTTCTTGACATTTATATAGCAACTTCAGGACGTATGATTTTAATTCCACTGGTGATAATTCTACGATACTTGCCAAAAATAAACTACATATTGGAGAGCTCCTTCAGTCTCTGCTTCCCAAATATGAGTACAAGAAATATTACATATAAAAACTGTTCCATGCGTTTCTGCTTTCAGGACAAGGTAGACTAACATCATTCATCCCTATTCCCCCTGCTAAGTATAGTTAAAAATCTCTGAACAGTATAGAAAAAATAAACAAAAACAATTTGGAGGGTAGAAAGAAAAAGGCTTATAGGCTACGGACCTCCCAGGAGTCAAGAATGACCAGTGGTGAGTTCCATAGGCTTTTCTTTTTGCTTAGTATATACCAAACCTGGAGCTGCAAAAGCCAGCAACTTAGGAAAATCAATGCACACAAACAAAAAAGAGTTTTCTCTCAAAAAGCTAGCTAGCCTCCGGGGGTCAGCACTCCGGTACATCATGCTAAGCTGCAACTCGAGACACGGACACTCCGTGTCAGAATTCTGGCTCAAGTGCCCACTTCCAACCTGCTTCCTGTTAGCATGCTGGGAAGGCAGCAGGCAGCCAAGTACTTGGGGTACTGCCACCCATGCAGGGGACCAAGATGGAGTTGCTGGTTCCTGGCTTCAGCCTGACCCAGCCCTAGACATTGCGGAGCTCCTGTGAAAGCGAACCAGCGTTACAGACTGATCTCTCCCCTCCCACTTCTTCTCTCTTTCAAATTAAAAAGAAATTTAAAGATTTCTTTATTTTTATTGGACATGCAGACATACAGAGAGGAGGAGAGACAGAGAGGAAGATCTTCCATTCAATGATTCACTCCCCAAGCAGCCGCAATGGCTGGAGCTGAGCCAGTCTGAAGCCAGAAGCCAGGAGCTTCTTCCAAGTCTCTCACATGGGTTCAGGGTCCCAAGGCTTTGGTCAGTCCTTGACTGCTTTCCCAGGCCACAGGCAGGAAGCTGAATGGGAAGCAGGGCCATTGGGATTAGAACCGGTGCCCATATGGGATCCTGGCCCATGCAAGGAGAGGAATTTAGCCACTAGGCCACCACACTGGGCCCTCAAATTTACGATTACAGCATCTTAGCATTCAAGTAATTCTACAGAAAATATTCAAAACACTTTGAATCATTAGGATGTGATATGACTTCTATTGGTATTCTAAATATTTAATTTAGACTTTATATACTGAAATTTTAAATTTGTATACACAAAAAAGTTACAGTTTATAAAGAATGAGAAATCACACCGAGGGCTCTATTCCTATTCTTTGGATGTAGCCATGTTGTGGCCAGCAGGTGGCAGCATTGTCCAGGAAAATGGCTGCCAAATCCTGTGACTACTGATACTGTGAAATGCAGGGTCAGCAACAATCTGCCCGCTGTGTAACACTTCCCAGAGCAGAGGATAGGGTATGGTTTCAGTCACACAACAAAAGAGTGTCACCACTATTGCTAACGATTAGCTGCCGTGAATTCATAATGGCGGCTAACAAAAAATAGCAAAGTGCCTTTTAACAGAGAGAAAACGAGGTAAAAGATCAAGGGGACTTTGAGAAATGAGAAATTGAAAAATAGTTATGTAATACGGCAAAGCTCTCATTTCCACATGTAACAACCTTTCAGTATAATATGGTGATTAATATGTGATAATATTCTACTGTTTACTGCATTAACACTTTATATATCTGTACAGATACCATTACACACTTGCATCCCAATAGCTACAAAGCTAATAAATATTTTTAGGATGACTAATTTACTTGTCCATTGTATAGCTAGCCTCTCGCACGGAGGATTCATCCCATGACATGTGTTAGATGGGTATACAGCATCCTCACATAATCACACCTAAACGATGTTCCAAGTATGCGGCCCTTCTAATAGACTAATACAATCATGCCAAAGTTTTGGCCATGTAGACAAGATGATAAACACTGCCTGATTTTGTTTGGGGAGGTTGGCTTCCATCATCAGGAAAATGCACTGACTTGAGTATGTTCCTGATTTTATTTTACCCTGCCAGTTAGCATGCTTATCAACAAAAACCGTTGCTCCCAGCATCTTTGATGTTACAGCTTGAACAGTCCCTGACAGGCCCTCTCACTTAAAGTGTTTTCAAGACCCTACTTTCCATGAAGCTTTCCAAGGAGGCTAGAAATTGGCTGCTATTTAAACACAAAACTAAACTAACCAGACTTGCATGAATGTAAGGAATTTCCTTGACGTGTACAAAGCAGTAGTCTGGACATGTCAGGCAGGAGCTGGGTCTTGGTCTCACATTTCGCATGTCACTGGAAGACTCCAGCAGAATGGCATCTTGCTGCAATGAACGAGGACTCAGTGGGAGCACAGCCCTGGGGAGGAGTGCCACCCCCAGGCAGCACTCCATCTCCACCCCACTGGGCTCACTTACTACTGAGTGCTGAACCAACCTCAGTTACATGAAAGCAGTCTAGGCACTTGCCAAATAGTGTCAAGGTAAAGATGGCAAGGATGATGCTATTAGTTATGGTTTGTTAAGAAATCAAAGCCCTTGGGCCCACCTGCATGGTGGGTGCCGGGTCTGTGAGCCCCATGCACTAGGAGCAGCCAGGACATGAATTGGCCCCCATATGGCATCCCTGGGCCCTTTTCCATTTACTTTTAAAAATGGTTTTATTGGGCCCAGCACAGTGGCATAGCAGCTAAATTCTTCGCCTTGAACGTGCCAGGATCCCATTTGGGCTACAGTTCTAATTCTGGCAGCTCCACTTCCCGTCCAACTCTCTGCTTGTAGCCTGGGAAAACAGTCAAAGATGGCACAGGGCCTCTGGACCCTGCACCCGGGTAGAAGACTTGGAGGAGGTTTCTGACTCCTGGCTTCGGATCGGTGCAGCACTGGCCGTTGCGGTCACTCCTCCTCTCTCTGTATATCTGACTTTGCAATAAAAATAACTTTCAGAGTCCCAAGGCCTTGGGCCGTCCTCGACTGCTTTCCCAGGCCACAAGCAGGGAGCTGGATGGGAAGCGGAGCTGCCGGGATCAGAACTGGCGCCCATATGGGATCCCGGCATGTTCAAGGCCAGGACCTTAACCATTAGGCTATCTCACCAGGCCTCGTTTGTTTGTTTTAAGATACATTTATTCAAAAAGAGTGACGGGGGCATCTTCCATCCACTGACTTACTATATGGCTATAGAAGGCAGGGAAAAGAAAGTGCATCCAAGTGTGTCACGGGGTGGCAGGCCCCGGGCACTCGGGCCGTCTCCCACTGCTTTCCCAGGCACCTGGGCAGAAAGCTGCGTTGGCGGTGGAGCCACCAGGATGCCAGAGGCGCAGGTGCAGCTTACGGGCCTCAGCACGGGCGCCAAAGAAAGCAGCATTTTTTTCTATAAATGTATTACCTTATTAGCCTATGTGCTAACTTTTTTTTTAAATAAATGAGAAAATATAACAGTTGAAATCCTTGTTAAGTAAACACACACACACACATTAATATACAACTTCTGTTTCTAAAAAAGGGAAAAGCCATTTTTGCTGAAGAAGCATTTTAAACAGCCAACCAACGCGAGGAGGAACTATCTTAATCTCAAGCTCAGGACGGTAAAACATGAGGCACTACTGTTCACCTCATGAACAGCCTAAAAATTATAAGCAGTGACTTCACCCCATCTGAGCTCCGGGGAAACCCGGGGAGACCCTGCCTGGGACCCCAGAGCCTCCTCAACCCTGGGGACTTGGGAGGGTCTGGTCACAGGGACAGCCGTGAGACTCAGGACGACACACAGACAGGAGTGACCCGAGTGCTTTCTGTTGTGTAACCCGCTCAGCAAGGCATTTACGGTTCTCGGAGCTCCTACAAAACTACCAGATTTGCTGGAACACCGGCGTACTTTCTAGAACGGATCGGGAATACCGCCCTACTCAAGACGATGGGAGAAGCGTCAGAAGACCACGATGAGAGGCTGCGAGGCCCCGCGACCGCGCCTTCCGAGCGGGGGCCGTCCTCCCCAGGCCTCCCGGCCGCCCACTAACAGCGCCCCGACTTCCAAACCCCAAGTCCCGGAGAGCGGGAAGTGGGCAGCAGGCAGCCACCCGGCCAGGCTGAGGGACCAGGAAGACCGAGCGCTGATTGGCTGCCCGGGAGCAGGGGGCGGTGCGGACGGGGCGTACGGGCGGAAGCACCAGGCGCGCACTTCCGGTCTTTGTGGCTCGGCGCTCGGGGTGGGCGGCTGGCGTCCAGGCCGCTGCTGGGCTTGGCGGTGAGGGACGCGGGCCCTGAGGCGGAGGGGGGACGGGGTGGGCGCCGGGCCCTGCAGGCGGCCGGGGGACGGAGCGACGCCGCTGCGGGGGCGGCTCGTGCTGGGGTCCCGCGGCTGGGGGCGCGGAGGGCAGCCGTGCCGCCCCGGCTCGCCAGGCAAAGCCGCCGACCCCGCCCCACGAGTCTGCCAGGTCCCTGGTTTAACCGCCATGGAAGAACAGGTCATCAGGTCTCCTTAGCGCGGCCGAGCCGGCAGCCTAGGAATTGAATCTCCCAAGTTTAGGTTTGGGATGCCATGTTACCATCCTGTCCAACTCAAGGACGCGCACTCGAGTTGTCCCCGCCCCCAGATCAGACCTTGTCTGTTGATACAGGAAACAGTTCGCTACCCACCACCAGATTTTGTTTCTAAAATAATTTCTTCCCTGCATATCCTAGGCTTTTTCGAGCACTGAGGTTGCCCTTTTGGGCTGTTGTGTCCCTGGCAGTAAACATGTTCAGATCCTCAGTGGTTAATTCCTCACTAAAGAGTACAAACTGTTGGAACCGTGAACAGTTCAGACGGAGCCCGCTGGAAGCGCCTCACTGAGGAAGAGATTCAGCGAATACCGAATGTGATCCAATAGCAAACACTCCGTAGCATGGTTACTTAAATTCATAAGGTTTTATTTACTACCTTTAATGAAAGTCCACATTATCAGTTCCACTTAGGAAGTAGCTGTTACATTCTCCCTAGATACTGTTACTGTTGCAAGTATGAGTGTCAAGTCTTTATGTTAGTGTTAAACCTACTTATTAAGGCCAGCATAAGATCCTGGCAAGGGTAATGCCCCCTACCTCCCTGGTGCCCTAAGACTGGAAGTATTGAAAAGGATTAATTTTAATAGTGCTTTGTAAAGCAATTTCTTAGGTTAGTGCCAGGAATACTACATAATGAAAAACAATGAAGTGAATGGTTTGGGGTTTTGTCATATGGGGGCAGTTTTATTTATAGTCTCAAACTTGTTCCCTTTTCATATGTTCCTGAAGTGCCTGATCTTTACTATTACAAATTCTTGGTTTTTTCTCCTTGCCATAGTTAACAGCATTTTCATATTCTTCAGGAGAGAAGAGATTACGCAAAGAAACTTGCTGAAGTTTAGAACCCAGTTTTGGCTTTTTGGCTGCGTTGGTTCAGCCCAGAATGGATATGGAATCCAGAGCAGTTTCAGCTGTGATATCCCAAGATCTACACGACCAAGGACTGATACTAGTGAAAGTAGAAGACACCCTCCCCTGGGGCCAGAAATGTAAACCCAGTAGGAGCACTCAGTCCTGCCAAGACACCTTCCGCCAGCAGTTCCGAAGGTTTTCCTATCATGAGTCCACAGGGCCCCGGGAGGCTCTGGGCCGGCTCCGCGAGCTCTGCCAGCGCTGGCTGAGGCCCGAGGTGCACACCAAGGAGCAGATCCTGGAGCTGCTGGTGCTGGAGCAGTTCCTGGCCATCCTGCCGGAGGAGCTGCAGAGCTGGGTGCACGAGCGTCAGCCGGCCAGTGGAGAGGAGGCCGTGACCCTGCTGGAGGAGCTGGAAAGGGAGTTTGATGAACCAGGGCAGCAGGTAGGTACAGAGAAAGGAAAAGGAGTTTAAAACCTGGACCATGTGATATCGTAACAACAGGATGCGATTTTGTATGTCTTCACTGAACCTGAGCCAGACAGGGTCACACCTGCCACCGCCCCCCCACCCTTCCAGGTAGCCTGCTTTAGTAAGCCCTTCCTTAGGGGTTTTCTCACACAGCTAATTGTATTTTACTGATTTCAGGTCTCAGCTAATCCACAGGGACCAGCAGTGCCATGGAAGGACATGACATGCCTTGTAACATCCCAGGAATCATCAAACATCCAGTGCCAACCCTTGAAGCAGCAGCTGCACTCGTGGAACCCTTGCCTTTCCCCCAAGCGTGGTGAGGAACAGACACTCCTCTGGGAACACAGCACTGGGCCCCTGGTTGTCACGATGCAGAATGACTTGCGTGTGCCACCTGGGAACGCCACCTGCATGGTGTCTAAGCAGAGGTGCCCTCCACAGTGGCTTTGTGCTCTGCATCTTTGTGGAACTGCAGTCAGCCCTCCTTCTGTCAGTCTTCCTGTCCTGCATTTGCTTATTCTATGCGTTTAGAACTGCGGGGTATTCGTACATGTCCAGTGCTGTTGTAGGCACTGGATCTCTACCTCCGGGGAGCTTTCAGATCTAGGTGGCTGGTGGAAAAATGAAAGACCAATGCAATGTGTTAGTAAATTACTAAATGAAAGTAAGCATTGGGTGCTATGGCAACACATAAACAGCACTAGCCAACTCTTACTAGAGGTTAAAGGGATATATCCAAGAAGAAGAAACTTCTCAGCTAACAATCAAAAATATGAGTGGGAGAAAGCCAGGTAAGTAGATTAGAAAAGGATTATCCTAAGCAAAGGCCACAGAATGCAACCCATTCTGGAAATTGTAGGGACTCAGTTTGACGTGACTAAAGAATTGATACAAGAGGAGTAGCAAAAAATGAATTAACATATGGGACACAAGTGTATGTCATGCCAGTGGACTTGTACAGTTTCTTAAGTACAGTGGCATACAGTTGAAGGGTTTTGCACAAGAGTGACATGATTGGGCTTGTGGTTCAGAACTTGTCTACAGAGTAGCAGGTGGATTTGAGGAAGGCAAGAGTAGAGGCCTTTTAGAGACTTGTTATGATCCAAGTAGCTTAAGTGGGTCAATCAGTGTTACTGTAGAAGGTAAAGAAAATCAAAGCTGACTCATGTTCATTGTACTAGGATACAAGGGAGAGGACAGGAGGATGATACTCAAGTTTCAGTCTTGAACAGCGTGGTTATTAGTGGGGTGCTATTCCTGCAAACAATAAAATATAAGGAAGAACAAATACTCCGCTGGTGTGTCTAGTTCGGGCCACTCTGGTGCCTGTCACGAGTCAAACGCCCAGCTAGCAGTTGGATTTGACTCTAGAGCATGACATGATTAGCGATCTGGGAAGATACAGCTCACAGTGTAAGCAGTAGTTGAAGCCTGGTGGACAGAATTTTTAGAGTGAAGATTCATGAGAGCCCAGGAGAAACACTAGTGTTTGAGTGACTAACCTTAGAGCCTAAGAAGGAACAACCACAGAAATTAGGCTAACAGGAGTAAAAGAACCTGTCTCCTAACGGGAGTAAAAGAAGGAAGGTGCTACAGAAAGGCCAGCTGAGTCATACAATACCTAGACACTACAGCAGGGAAGTGGATGATCCTGATGGGAGGAGCACCGGAGGAAGCTGCTTGGGGGGAAGGGAGAGAGTTAGGAATTGGGCAGAAAGCAGGTGGTGAAATGGGGATGAGTATACAGAAACCCTTCCAGATGTTTTACTATGAAAGGAATGGACAAGGTTTCTTGAGAGAGACATGTAAGCAAGGAGCTTGATGTTAAAATGAGACTGGGCCCGGTGCAGTAGCCTAGTGACTTGAGTCACCACCTTGACACGCCAGAATCCCATATGGGTGCCACTTCTGGTCCTGATGGCCCCACTTCCCATCCAGCTTCTTGGTAGTGGCCTGGGAAGGCAGTCAAGGACGGCCCAAGGCCTTGGAACCCTGTGCCCACGTGTGACACCCAGAAGAGGCTTCGGGCTCCTGGCTTCAGATCAGCTCAGCTCTGGCTTGCAGCTGCTTGGGGAGTGAATCAGCAGATGGAGGATCTTCCTCTCTGTATATCTGACTTTCTAATAAAAATAAATCTTTAAAAAGAAAAATGAGAGAGACTTGAACTTACTGTGGTGAATAGAACTCCAGCAAGAAGTTAAAAATAATAGGAAAAGAATTGTGGTTAATTGACGAGTTGAAATCTCAAAGGAATCCTCAGAGTGGATGCAGGCTCAGCACTGGGAAGGTGCAGGCACTCCACTCTGACCAGCTGAAGAGACACCAGTGCACAGTGAGAGCTTGTAGCTACACGCTTCCATTTTGACCCATAAACTGAATACCAAGATAAACTGAAGAAACACTGTTCCTTTTTTTTCTTTTTGCTGTTTTTCATTTCAGATTGTGAGAACAAGACAGCAATGGAAGAGGACATTTCAGGAGAGAAATCACGGGCATCTCCTCTGGGACCTTCGTTTGAAGGAATCTGTGAGCATGAAAACAGTTTAGAATGGCAGCAGGGACGCACGTTAGGAGAAAAATCGAGAAGATCCCCTTCCCAAGGGGGCAGTTTTAGTGCAATGTTCTTCACAAACAAATCTCCAGTAAAGATAGACCATCTTGATGACCCCCAAAGATGTGTGATTCTCAGTACAAACTCTCTGACATGTCAGAAAGTTCCCATAGAAGAGCGACCTTACAGGTGTGATACATGTGGGCACAGCTTCAAGCAGCATTCCTCTCTGACACAGCATCAGAGAATCCACACTGGAGAAAAGCCTTACAAATGTAACCAGTGTGGCAAGGCCTTCAGCTTGAGGTCATATCTCATTATTCACCAGAGAATTCATAGTGGTGAGAAAGCGTATGAGTGTAGTGAATGTGGGAAAGCCTTCAACCAGAGCTCAGCCCTCATTAGACACCGGAAGATTCACACTGGTGAGAAAGCTTGTAAGTGTAACGAATGTGGCAAAGCATTCAGTCAAAGTTCATATCTTATTATACATCAAAGAATTCACACTGGTGAGAAGCCTTACGAGTGTAACGAGTGTGGGAAAACATTTAGCCAGAGCTCAAAGCTTATTAGACACCAGCGCATTCATACAGGAGAGAGACCCTATGAATGCAATGAGTGTGGAAAAGCTTTCAGGCAGAGCTCTGAGCTGATTACCCACCAGAGAATCCACAGTGGAGAGAAACCCTATGAATGTAATGAATGTGGGAAAGCCTTCAGTTTGAGCTCAAACCTCATTAGACATCAGAGAATTCATAGTGGAGAGGAGCCCTATCAGTGTAATGAATGTGGCAAAACCTTCAGAAGGAGCTCAGCCCTGGTTCAGCATCAGAGAATCCACTCTGGGGATGAAGCATACATATGTAATGAATGTGGAAAGGCGTTCAGGCACAGATCCGTCCTTATGCGCCACCAGAGAGTCCACACTGTAGACTTGTGAATACAGTGAATATTGCAACTACTGAGGTCAGAGTGTTGTCTTTGTTAGAAGGGTTTACTTTGGAATAAGACCCCATAAAGGGTGTCAGTTACTAGGTTATTATATGGGGTCATCTAACAGCTTTATGCAGCTCTTCCCAATGCTAGTACAAATTGTCCCTTGAAAACTTTTCCTATGACTAGTAAGGCAGGAGAATAATTCCTTCCAGGTTTGTTTTGTTTACCATTGGGAATACTCAGGAAATCTCAAAAGGAGAAGTGTAAGTGAAACCTCATTTTCTTTGAGAATGTCACGAAGAGGGTATAGCAATCCAGCCAGTGCCACTGCATCTGTCAGTCAGGCCTGAGGGCTGGGGTAGACAGTGTGAGGGACTTTTTGTCTCACGAGTCCAAAAAAATTGTACTGGCCAGGAAGAACAGTAAGAAAACTGAGTGGTTACATCAATGATGTATGTCTATGATGGGTCAGAAGTAAGTAGGAAAAGAAAAGCCATAAATTAATTTATCCAAGTTTTTTTGTACTTTTTTGTGCCAGGGGGTCACAATGCAACATAAGATGTCACCTCTACAGCTGATAGGCAGAGGCAGTGACATTGTCCAGTCCACACTATGTGACTGTATCAGCCTCACACAAAGAGATGGGGTCGAACACCTGCAATATGAGGAAGAGTTGGCCACAGGCAGACCAGAGCGAATGACCCCGGTAAGGGAAGCCGCAAAAAGCATGAACAAACTGTAGGACGTGTGTACTGTATGTTTTGAAGAGGCCTCATAGCTTTAGAAGGACCAGTGCAGCCAGAGTCTCCCAAGCACTGCCTATTGCAAGATAAGAAGCAAAGGAGAACTCTCTGCTCATAGCACCTAGGTCCCTTGGACCCCAAGATAGTGGGGAGCTCTGTCATGACTGATGTGACCCCAGAAAAGGGCTAATAGGTGGGTTCACATGTGAGCTAAGCTAGAACGTCTGTCAGTATAGTGGTGGAAAGAGCCCAGCTTGAAGAGGCTCATGGAGTATATCCCAGAAACGACCCTACAGAGCTACTGACAGATCCCCCCGTCCCCAAGGCTGTGAAGCTCCCACTGCGTTTGTTTCAGGGTCTGTGACTTACTGTGCAGGCACCTTGCACAGGTTCAGTTTTGTCTGTTTGGTAACAGTTTTTCACAGAAACCTTTGCAAACTTTGTTAAAGACATTGCTAAGTATTCAAAGCAGCAGTCCTGGCCAGTGAAGACTTCCCCTTTCCTGAGGGGCCCAGTAGGAAAAGTGGGCTAATATGTGGTGTGCAATAGAGAAAGTTTCACAGATGATCCAGAAAGTTGCCATGCAGAAAACCTAATAAGATGGAAGAATAACACACCTTAAGCAAAGAAGTCTGTGTAGAATCTTGAGAATAGAAAAGGGATTTCCACGAGGATAAACAGCAGCAAAGAGAAGTAATGCTTATATTGGGGCACACATGGGAAGGTAGGTGCTGACCTTTGTAAACAGCAGGAGGGCTAACTGCCCAAATTTGGAGGAAGGCTGGAAAAAGAGGGTAAAATCATTTGGGAAAGATAGTAAATGTGCTAAAGTATATAGTAAGAGCTTATTCCTTATCCACAGAGAATGGTCCAAATAACCTGAAAAGACATTAGGAATTGGTATGTTGCCTAAGAGAAATTACTCCATACAAAGAACAGTGTGTATAAGCAATGTAATAGGTACTTGCTCAGGCTTTGTATGTATATGTGCCTTCTCACTGCAGCCCATATTTTGCAAAAATAATGAAGGCTAAAGATTACATAGGTAAAGATCTGTAGCTATATGATAGATGGTGATGAGCTCAGACTTTGAGCCAGGCAAGGCAGAACCCTCCCGAGGAGCCAGTTCTCTACACTGTCACCCTGTGAGGGAAACATCCCAGTGGAAAAACGGGCATTTCAATAGATGCATACAAAAGGATAAGCACCAATGGACACTAGGTGGCTAAACCATACGTTAGAGCAGAGTTACAGAAGCTGGAACTTCTAAGATTCAGGGAAATTGGAATTCAGTGCTGCTGCTGATGTGGAAATCCGTACTATATGTGCAAGTCAGTACCAGAAGCCTTAAGCAAGCGTTGATTTTGACTTTGAAATCTACCTGGAAATGTACACTACAGAAACCATCATCAATGTACAGTCTTTAACAGCTGTAAAACTAATGTTAATATTAAATGAAGCCTTCATGGTATATTGCTAAATATATTAAAAGTATGTACAATATATTGTGTAAAATACTTATTAAAAATACTGGAAATGTATGATCCCGTAGTGCTACGCTGATTATGTCTGAGTGTGAAGTTTCAGGCAATTTCTTGTGCTTTTCTGTATTTTCCAGTTTTGTCCACTACTTACACACACACAGTACTCTTATCATTACAGGGAAAAGTGAATTAAAGCCCAGGATAGCTGAGAAAATATTACACAGAGCACTTATTTTCCATAACCTCTGTCCCTCCTATACCTCAGTTCATTAGCTAACTTAAGTATGATCCTCGGTTTCATCATTAGTAAAGCAACATGACAGACTAGGCAGGCCACAGCATACATGCTATTTTTTTTAATATTTATTTTTATTGCAAAGTAAGATACACAGAGAGGAGAAGAGACAGAGGAAGATCTTCCATCCAATGATTCACTCCCCAGTGGCCCCGCAATGGTCGGAGCTGAGCCAATCCAAAGCCCAAAGCCTCTTTTGGGTATCCCACATGGGCACAGGGCCCCAAGGTCTTGGGCTGTCCTCAACTGCTTTCCTAGGCCACAAGCAGAGAGCTGAATGGGAAGGGGTGCCACTGGGATTAGAACCATCGAACATGGGATCTTGGTGCGTACAAGGACTTTAGGCTACTGTGCTGGGTCTGTATACATGCTATTTAAAAAGTTATGGGAGAGGGCCCAGCGCAATAGCATAATGGTTAAGGTCCTCGCCTTGAAAACACCAGGATCCCTTATGGGCACTGGTTCTAATCTCGGCCGCTTCACTGCCCATCCAGCTCCCTGCTTGCGGCCTGGGAAAGCAGGCAAGGACGACCCAGAGCCTTGGGACCCTGCACCCATGTGGGAGACCTGGAAAGAAGTTCCTGGTTCCTGGCTTCGGATTGGCACAGCGCCAGCCATTGCAGCCACTTGGGGAGTGAATCACCAGACAGACAGAATATCTTCCTCTCTCTCTTCCTCTCTGTATATCTGCCTTTCCAATAAAATAAATAAATCTTTAAAAAAAAAAAAAAAAAAAAAAAACTGCCTGTAAAGCAAGCCTCTTGCATGCTTGGGTCTACTTTGACTGTGCATTGCCATAATTTTAAAATAGTTTGAGGTCTTGGGTCCGGTGCGGTAGCATAGCAGTTAAAGTCCTTGCCTTGCAGGCTCTGGTATCCCATGGTGCTGGTTTGTATCCTGGGGCCCTGTTTCCCATCCAGCTCCCTGCTTGTGGCCTCGGAAAGCAGTCAGGGATGCCCAAGGTCTTGGGACTCTGCATCCGTGTGGGAAACCCGGAGAGGTTCCTGGCTCCTGGCTTTAGATCAGCTCAGCTCTGGCCATTGTGGCCACTTAAGGAGTGAATCATCACAGAATCTTCCTCTGTCTTTCCTCTCTGTATATCTGACTTTCCCATTAAAATTTTTAAAAATAAGTCTTTAGAAAAAGATGGACTCCCAAGTTCCTATGGAACTGTATATTAAAATAATTATTTTAAAAATTTTTTTTAAATGTTAAAAAATAGTTTGAAGCCTTGTCATGCTCCAGCTAGAGATTTTAGAACGTTTAGTCAACTGGGGAAAACAACCCACAGAGATGGCCATCAGTTAGGAATCCCTGGACAAAGTGAAGTTGCTTGCCTGTAGACTTACAAGTGCGATAACGTGCAAGTGGTGACTTTGGACTGTTAGTTCTTTTCCATGAATTCTGCGGTCATAAGCAAGTCACTTCTAGACCTTGCTTTAAAGGCGCTAAAGTAGGTGATGTACAGTCAGAGCTTCAGGGTTCTGTTCTCATAAAACGCAGGGGGCACTCAGATAAGGTGAATGTCAAGGAAGTTGCTTTTCCCTTTACTACCTTCCCTGGAAGTGATTCATGCATTTCCCTTCTGCTCTGGGCTGACATGTTTCTCTTTGTATAGAGGAACATTCCTGGGGCAAAGCATTGTCTGCATCAACCAGATATGCAGACTTTAAAATATCTTTTATATTAGGAAGATTGAAAAATAAATGTGCAATTTAGGTAAAGTGCTTAATATTTCCCTACTTCTCATGTCAGCCCTGCAGCTAATACTGTCTGAGAAGCTCACATTTCTGTTAAGGAACAACTAAGGAAGAGGGCGCTCTCGACCCTCCCCAGCAGCTTGTGCTGAGGATTCCAAGGTCATACCTGAGGGTTCCCCCACACACACCACCACTTCCACCAAAAGTAGCACAGGGAATCCTAGCTCCGGATGGGATAGGCCATGTATGTATGCAGAGTATCCTTGGTCATTCCCATGGTTTTTCAACTCAACCGCAGGTGCCCACTGGGTGACCTGCAGCCCTAGAGACTGGCTGTTAAGTATTTCCTGGTGCTTTCTGGCCCAGGGAAAAGAAACTGAACATCAATTATCTGACTTCTTCCCACAATCCCTTTCCATCCCCCACTCATCTTATTATGCCCCCTGATCCTGAATGAAAAATTTTAAAGCAAAACAAAACTCAAATTTTATTACAATACATTTTGTATTACATTATATTACTAAAGTGTAAACTCAAAGTATAAATGTAAAACTAGTTAATAAAAATTACTTAGAATTTTACCAAAAATATTAGGTTTGAGGGGAAAAAGAAACACTGATAAAGTACTCTAAAATATTAACATTTCTATGGGTAATGCAACTGTAAGGTGACATATCTTCTGCACTACTAGCAACAGTTATAATTAATACACAGTCTAGGGAAAAAACAATGTCTAAAACACTAAGTCATCTGAATGACACCCACAGGACATTAGGTGACTGGTATGATGATCTCAATCACACAACCTTTGGACACAGTCTTTCCCTCCCCATCTCGCCTCCCCATTTACTCACAATAGATATGATCACCAAGTCTTCAGGAATCTTAGGTATTAATTGCCTTCAGCAATTGTGGGTTAATTAAAACTGCCAAAATAAAAATCAGGAGAGTAGTTTTGAGGAATCTGGGGATAAGTCAACCAATATTTATTTCCCTGAAGTTGCGTAGGGCCTGCAAGTCTGGAAAGGCCAGGGACGGAATGGGGAATCACGGGCCTAGAAGGGATCCCTCCCATCACTATTTTGGTAAGTGTCCCATTGCCTGGAGCACAGGAACCTGGGACAAAACATTACAGTCCCCACTGTCTCTGTGTCCTCCAACATATTCTCTCCTTGGTGTGCACATGTATCTGTTTGCATATGGTGTAACTATTAGTTTTTCTCCACACTAATTCTGAGTACTTCAAGGTCTTACAGATCACTTGAGATGTGGGGTGATGTTCCCAACTTGGTAGGAAGGGAGAAAACAACGTGCTAGCCTCTGAGCCCAGGTATATGACAAGTAATTCACACTGCAAAGGAAAGCAATCCTGATAAAGAGAGGCCACAAGGTCCTCTCTTATCCCTGTGCTATTGTGCCATAATCTGCCTCTCCACTGCTCCTGACCTGGCCAACTTCTACCTTTTAGCTATCAACTGATCGGTCATTTCATCCAAGAAGTCTTCACTGCCTGGCGGATCAATTAGGTACCCTGCCACATACTTGAACAGAAGGCCGATTTATCTAACCAAAAAATACATCATCCTCTACTGCAATTAACAGTATGTATATATAATATACGTGTATACACACACACACACACACCCCATGAGCCCTTACTGTGTCTGTCAAATGGCTAGCACATGTCAGGTGCTCAACAAATAAACAGACCTGTATTGATCTCAGTAGACAGCTCAGGGCTAGGAGACAAGTGGCAAGAGGGCATAATGAGCCACCATCCTTCATATTATTAATCTCCGTCAGGTACTATTAAACTGATCTGAGGTATAATTCAACATTTTACAGCCTGACAACTTTTAGGGAGTTGAGTAACCCCATCAGGATTCCTCCTGTGAGAGTTCCTTCAGAATCTGCAGCATTCTTAGACTCACTGGGAAGGTACAGGTTGGCAGATATATCGGGGTAGGGAGAGGAGTCAAAGGAATAATGATGAGAATCATCCAGAAATGGGCTGGACATTTCCAGGAAACACCTACCATTCTTTAGAAAAAAAGACCTGGGTGGAAATTCTCTTCCGTTGGGGTTAGCACTGTGGTACCATGAGTTAAGCCGCCACTTTTGACATCATTTGGAGCAAAGGGTCAGTCTGAGTTCCAAGCTGCTCTGCTTCCAATTCCAGCTTTCAGTTAGTGCCCCTGGAAAAGCAGTGAAAGACGGCCCAAGTGCTAGACCCCCTGCCACCCGTAGGGGACACTAGGATAGAGTTCCAGGCTCCTGGCTTTGGCCTGGCCCAGCCCTAGCTGTTGCAGTCATCTGGGGAGTGAACCAGCAGAAGCACAATTTCATGGTCTCCATCACCCTGACTTTCAATTAAATACATCTAAAAACAATTCTTTTCTTCCATTCGACAGTCCCAAGTATCTCTTTGTGTTTCTTTTCCTATAATACTGACCTGGCTGGAGATAGAAATCCCACTCTCAGGAAAATCCTGTCTTCTGTGCAGTCTCAGCCTCACCATGAACTCTGCATTTCACCATGACACAACTCTGACCCAGAGGCTTAAACTCGGGTGTGTGTTCTTTGATGCTGCATAAGGCCTGACCTATGCCTGAATGTTTTCATGCACTCAGTGCATTCATAAGGCTTCTCCCCAGTGTGGATTCTCTGGTGTTGCGTGAGAGCCGAGCTCTGATTGAAGCATTTGCCACATTCATTACATTCGTAAGGTTTTTCTCCAGTGTGAATTCGCTGATGTTCAATAAGGATAGAGCTCCTACCGAAAGCCTTACCACATTCAAAACACTCATAGCCTTTGTCCCCAGTGTGAATCTTCTTATGCTGAATAAGAGCCGAGTTCCGGCTGAAAGCTCTTCCACATTCACTACATTCATAAGGTTTCTCTCCCGTGTGAATTCTCCGGTGCCGAACGAGCTCTGAGCTGCCCCTGAAAGCTCTTCCACACTCACAACATTTATAGGGTTTTTCACCACTGTGGATTCTTTGATGTCTAACAAGATCTGAGCTCAAACTGAAGGCTTTGCCACATTCTTTACATGCATAAGGTCTCTCTCCAGTATGAATTCTCTGATGTCTGATCAGCTTTGAGCTCTGGCCAAAGGCTTTCCCACATTCAAAGCATGCATAGAGCTTCTCCCCAGTGTGAGTTCTCGGGTGTCTGTCTGAGTTCAGACCGAGATTCCCTTTACTCTTCTTACTCTCAGTGATGCTCTGCTCCGTGGGGATTTTCTGATAGAAAGTTTCCAGGCTGAATTTTTGTTCCTGGGAGGTGAATAAACTCATCTTGCTCCTCGCAGCATTTCCCAAAACTTCCTCTCCAATCTGCCCTGAAGTTTCCCCAGGAAGTCTTCCTAAAGATGTCACAGCTGCTGATGCTACACATTCAACAGTTTCTCGTTGTGCTGGCAACACTTTGTCAGCCACCATCTCATCATCTAAAAATATGAATAGAAAATGCAGTGTCATTTATTCGGGCTAAAACAAAGGAAATTGTTGTAGCAGACAGAAATAAACCAAATGAAAATGTACTTATAGGCCTGGTTCAGTAGCCTAGTGGCTAAAGTCCTCACCTTGCGTATGCCATGCTCCTCCCACTGGTTCTCACAGCACCTGAGAAATCCAGCAGTGTATACCCTGGGGGGCTTCCGAGACTCCATCTCCACCACTGGTGTCACGGCAAGCTCGAGGCCGCCTCCCCTCTCCATGGGGGCTCCCATCTCCCTGGAGAGTGGCTCCTCGGTGAGTTCAGCCCCTCAGTCCTTCAGTGTACACCACCAGTCGGTAGTCGGTGGCCGTGGCTACGCCCTTTCCAACAAGACCTGGATCGCAGCCTTGGCCAGGGATGGCAAGGTTTGCAGCCATGTTCCTTTCTTAGTTGTTTTCCCTTCACTCTAGACACTCCTTGGATCTATACAAAATAATGCTTTGGCTTTTTGATATACCACTGAGTAGTAAATTCCATGTCATAGTTTATGATTCTTAATATTAAACTTTCACTGTTTAAGTTCTCCTTTAGTTGCTGTTACTGCTACAATATCCTTCTCCATCTTAGGAGCTACCCTGCCTCATAGGTCACAAAAAATTAAAAAGTAGAATATCAGACCCGGTGCCATGGCCTAGTGGCTCAAATCCTCGCCTTGTATGTGGCCCCCCCCCCCCCCCCCCCCCCCGTAGGAGGACATTGTGAGCCTGGAAGGCCAGCGAGCACAGGTTTGCAGTTCATTGGACAGTATTTGCATGACAATAACCAAATGGCTACCTTTGGTATAAACAGCATGTAAATGAGAACACCTGGTGTAATATACAAAACAAAAGGAATTCCAATCAAGAGAGGGAAACAGTACCGACTCTCAGTGTATAAAGTCTGATGCCCCTAATAAACTTCGGCTTTAACCATCAGTCAGGGTCCACGCGTGTTATTATCGGCTCCATGCACCAAGTCCGTCGCTGCAGGACAGCGACACCCCGGGATCCCATAAGGGCACCGGTTTGTATCCCAGATGCTCTCCAGATTCCCATCCAGCTCCCTCCTTGTGGCCTGAGAGAGCAGTAGGGAATGGTTCAAAGCCTTGGGACCCTGACCCACATGGGAGACCTGGAAGAAGCTCCTGGCTCCTGGCTTCAGATCAGCTTCAGCCACTGCAGCCGCTTGGAGAGTAAATCAGTGGACAGAATATCTTTATTTCTCCTTCTCTCTGCAACTCTACCTTTCCAATAAAAAATCTTTTTTTAAAAAAAAGGTGAATATTGGTCTTTGAATATTATGGATATTGGTAGACAATTCTATTAAATAGCTTAATTCTTAATGATACTCTAGAATTTCAGATTTGTGGCAGAACAAATGGAGGAATATTTCTAGGTTCGGGACCATCCCTGGGTGTCCGCCATTAAGTATCTGTCCTGGAGAACCATGGCCCAGATGGTAGCCCTCCCCTCCACCCGCAAGCCCAGACAGCTTGGGCTCCTCACCTCTGGATCGGCCAGCCTGGGGCTCCCCGCTGTCCAGGGCCTGCTGTGGGCTACCCAGAGGCTTCAGTGCTCCCAGGGATATCACTTCCTTCCAGGCCATTTCCTGGCCACAAGCTGCATCCTAGGAGTAATCAAGTACGAGCACTGTGATTCTGAGGATACACAAGAGGAAAACCCCTAGAGTAACAAAGCAGGAACAGAAGCAATGAGAAATTCATTTAGATGGTTAGAAAATAGCAGGAACAAAAGCCCTAGAGACCCAACTTGCACAGAATCCTGAGAGCCAAATTACTGACCCTCAGCATCTCAACCAACAAAGAAGCCTACTTCTCACCTGCTGCCTCGGCTCATCCAGTTCTTTCTCCAGCTCCTCCAGCAGGGTCACGGCCTCCTCTCCACTGGCCGGCTGACGCTCGTGCACCCAGCTCTGCAGCTCCTCCGGCAGGATGGCCAGGAACTGCTCCAGCACCAGCAGCTCCAGGATCTGCTCCTTGGTGTGCACCTCGGGCCTCAGCCAGCGCTGGCAGAGCTCGCGGAGCCGGCCCAGAGCCTCCCGGGGCCCTGTGGAGTCGGAGTAAGCAAACTGCCTGAAGTGCTGGCGGAAGGTATCCTGGCTCCAGCAGTTTCCTTGAACACCAAAGTCCTGCTCCCAAACATATTTCTCTTCTTCCACCTTCACAATTCTAAATCCATCTAGTTCTTTTGGAGCATGGCAGGCCACAATTGTGGCCTCACCCGACATTGTGGGTCCAGAGTCTGAGAAGGCTGCCCAGTGGAGGCAGGCAGGAAATAGAGGCTGTTGTCCCAGCAATTGCTTCCACTGGAATTTCAACTCTTCAGGGTGTGCCTGAGGGGGTCAGGGCTCAGGTTACACAATGCAAGTGCTTGGAATTTAAATACAGATTTTAGAAGGTCAATTGCCAGAAAAAGTGACACCAAAGAAAACTGACTGCATACAGATTTATACATGATTCAGGGTATTTTCAGGATGTGAAATAGAAAATATTAACATGAGGGCTGTTTCCGTGGTATAGTAGTTCCGTGGTATAGCAGGCTAAGCTTTCACCTGTGGGCACTGGTAGTGTCCCCACTACTCCACTTCCCGTGCAGCTCCCTGCTTGTGGCCTGGGAAAGGATGGAGGAGGAGGATCCATGTCTTGGTTTCCCTGTACCCATGTGGAAGACCAGGAAGATGATCCTGGCTTCTGGCCTTAGACCACCCCAGCTCCAGCCATTGGAGCCATGGCCACATTTGGGAAATGAACCAGCAGATGGAAGATTGCTCTCTTTGGCTCTTGCTCTCTCTCTCTGCCTTCCAAATAAAAATAAACCTTTAAAATTAGCATGGTTGGGCCTGGCGCGGTGGCGCAGTGGTTAAGGTCCTCACCTTGCACGCCCCGGGATCCCATATGGGCGCCGGTTCTAATCCCGGCAGCCCCGCTTCCCTTCCAGCTCCCTGCCTGTGGCCCGGGAAGGCAGTCGAGGACAGCCCAAAGCTTTGGGACCCTGCACCCGCGTGGGAGACCCAGAAGAGGCTCCTGGCTTTGGATCGGCATAGTATCGGCCGTTGCGCTCACTTGGGGAGTAAATCATCGGATGGAAGATCTTCCTCTCTGTCTCTCCTCTCTGTATATCCGCCTTTCCAATAAAAAAAATAATAATAAAAATAAAAATAAAAATTAGCATGGTCAAAATTAATCTTTTAGTACTGATGTTACAAAACATTTGAGATAGTAAATGGTGCTCACAGAAAGCTGGAAAAACACTGAATGTATTATGATGTGTCAGAATAACAACTATGATCTCATTAAGTAGTAGCTAGATATTTAAATATTATAGAATATTCCTAACAACTCGATTAAGAACAATCATAATCATGTTCACTTGCAAAATGAGGCTATGTCCAAATGAGATGCACAGCCAGTCAGTCACAGACCCAAGCTAGGTAACAAGGATTCCCCAAAGAAGGGAAGTCATACTAAATCCCTACTGTGAGCCAGGCACTTGGCAAATACTATTTTCTTACAGGATTGATTGATTGATTGATTGATTGATTTGAAAGGCAGTTACAAAGAGACAGAGGAAATTATCTTTCACCCGCTGGTTCATTCGCCGAATGGCCCTAACAGCTAGAGCTGCACTGGTTCAAAATCAAGACCTGCTGGCAGCATGGAGCTTCTTCCAGGCTTCTCACATGGGTGGAGGGGCCCAAGGATTTGGATCACTTTTTGCTATTTTCCCAGGGATATTGATTTGTAGGGAGCTGGATCAGAAATGGAGAGGCTAGGCCTTAAATCAGCACCTATCTGGGGTGTTGGTTCAAGCCACAGGCAAAGGCTTAACCTACTGGACCATGTATTTGCCTGGGTCTGGACAATTACACGTTGAGGTGGCTAGCATCCCATTTCACAGATAAGGAATCTGAGCTTCCTGAGAGTCCCATAATGCTTCCTAGGCCCTAGCTTGGACACTAGCATGCTAGCATGCTCACCAGAAGAGCCCAACGTTTCCCAGTTCTAAAGCATTCGCCTTTGTTATCATAGACTGGGTGAATCAGCAGCTTAACCGACTGAACCACAACACACTCACTTCCCCCAAGAGCATTTTTCTCACTTTGTCAGAATATTTATCTTTGTCAGAAATTTTAGGGGGATTATTATTCTGATTAATGCTTGTCCTGTCCATGATTAGACTACAAGGTTCACCAATCTACTGTAATTTCATCACTTAAGCCTTGCAGAGCACAGGGTACATGACACTGATTTAAAAAAAAAAAAAAAAAAAAAAAAACAGTGTCACCGCAGTAAAACAAGAATTTCAAGGAGGCAGTGATCAATATCATCAAATACATAGTAAAAATGTCCCCTTAGAACTTTCCCTACCACAGAGGGGATCCAGCACATTGAAAGTAGGGGGCCTGGTGCTGTGGGCTAGCAGCTAAAGTCCTCGCCTTAAACACACTAGGATCCCATATGGGCACCAGTTCTAATCCTGGCAGCTCCACTTCCCATCCAGCTCCCTGCTTGTGGCCTGGGAAAACAGCTGAGGATGGTCCAAAGCCTTAGGACTCTGCACTCGTGTGTGGGAGACCTGGAAGAAGTTCCTGGCTCCTGGCTTCGGATCGGCATAGCATCGGCCATTGCAGTTCACTTGGGGAGTGAATCATCAGACAGAAGATCTTCCTCTC